GGTAGGTTTTTTTCTCTCAACACTTTAATATTTCATTTCACTCTCTTGCTTGCACAGTGCTTGAGGAGAATTCAGATCTAATTCTTATCTTTGTTCCTCTATAGGTAAGGTGTTTTTTCCCTCTGCCCCTTTCAAGATTTTTTATTTCTGACTTTCTATAATTTGAAAATGATATGCCTAAGTGTCGTTTTTATGGCATTTATCCTCGGTGTTTTCAGAGCTTCCTGGATCTGTGGTTTGGTGCCTGATATTCATTTGGAGAAACTCTCAGTCATTATTGTTTGAAATATTTCCTCTATTCCTCTATTTTTTTGTCCTTCTTGTATTTCCATCATGTATATGTTATACCTTTTGTAGTTCCACTTTCTTCGGTATTCTGTGTTTTTTTTTTTTTTTTTACAGTCTTTGTTCTCTCTGCTTTTCAGTTTTTTGTAAGTTTCTATTGAGATATCCTCAAGCTCAGACATTCTCTCCTCAGCTATATCGAGTCTACTAGTAAGCCCATCAAAGGCATTCTTTATTTCTGTTACAGTACTTTTGATCTCTAGCATTTATTTTTGTTTATTTTTTAGGATTTCCATCTCTCTGCTCACATTGACCATCTGCTTCTTTATCCATTAGAGCTCTTAGCACAATAATCACACTTGTTTTAAATCCCAGTCTGATAATTCCAGCATCCCTGCCATTTGTTTCTGTTGCTTGATTTCTCTCTTCAAATTGTGTTTTTTGCCTTTTAGTATACCTTGTAATGTTTTCTTGATAGCTGGACTTGAACTGGGTAAAAGGAATTACTGTAAATGGGCCTTTAGTAATGTGGTGGTGAGGTGGGGGGAGAAGCATTCTATAGTCCTCTGATTAGTTGTCAGTCTTTTAGTGAGCCTATGCCTCTGGACTGTGAACTTCACAAGCGTTTCTCAGTTTTTATCTCTCCCCTTAGATGGGGAAAGATGGCTAGAACGGGCTGGAGTTGGGTATTTCCCTTCTCCCATGTGGAAGGCTGGAGCTGACTGGAGTTGGGTATTTCCCTCCTCCAGGTCACTTAGGCTCTGGTAATACAGCAGCAGGTTAGGCTCTGGTTAACTAGTTTCTCCTGAAGGCAGACCCTGTTAAGAGAAGAGTGCTCTGGCATATTTCTAAAGTGGTTCCTTTTTCCCTCCCCCTTCCAGAAGCATGAGGGGATTTTTCTCTGATATTTACTGTGGGAACCTGGTCAAGCTCCCGAAGGTAAAACTCACTGTGGGGGCCTCCCTATGACTGGGTTCCCCTGGAGGTGTTCTTTGTTTGTTTGTTTGTGAGGAGATCAGCCCTGTGCCAACATCTGCCAATTCTCCTCTTTTTGCTGAGGAAGACTGGACCTGGGCTAACACCTGTGTCCATCTTCCTCCACTTTATATGGGATGCCGCCACAGCATGGCTTGACAAGTGGTGCATCGGTGTGCGCCCGGGATCCGAACCAGTGAACCCCGGGACAACGCAGTGGAGCATGGGCACTTAACCACTTGCGCCACAGGGCTGGCCCACCCCCTCCAGTTTTAACTTTGATATAGTCTCTGTCTCTCCTACTATATCGTAAATTCCTTTGGGGCAAGAAATGTCTTTCAACGCTTTATCATTAGGCTGTAGCACAATGTCTAGTACAGAATCATCACTGAATAATGTGTAATAAAAATAATATGTAAAAGCTGAGTAAAAGTTTATATTTTTCGTTTTCTCCTGGCTTCATTTAGTTCTTATAGCATATGGATTCTTAGAAAAGATTATATTTTCAAGAATTAAGTCTAGTGGAGACAGCAGGACTCTATAATCAGCCAGATCTGGGTGAAATTATGACTACTGTGATTTGCTATTTTAGGGGTTTACAGAGTAATTCTAGACCAATTATTTTTCCAAATAGGCCTTATCCAGTTATTTCCTTGAAAAGACGATCTTGTCTGATTTTTTATGGAACATGAAAACACTTCTACATGATATGTGACATCCTAGACCTAAAATTTCCAATAATTACAAAGCAGCTATGAGCTTTTTCTTCTTTTGTTCCTGTAGACCCAAGAGCCTAGATGCCACATCCATCCTCTCTAGCTGAGTTATGAATGGGTGGGGATGATTTGCCTAAGTCTAAATTAAAGGGAAAGACACAAATGAGACATTCAATTATTTTCAAAAGGCCAAAATTGGTAAGTGTGTTTTCCTAACACACATTAGGGATGATCTGATCAGTGAAATCAGAGTGATGGGAGAGGAGCACAAAGTCTGGAAGAGGCAAGAGAAAATGAACATCATCTCTCTCTTCTCTGACCTTCGCTTCCTCACAGGTTGCTATCCATTACATTTAAAACAGAGATTTTAGACATGAGCATGTGCAGTTGTAAAGTGTGGCTATACCACATCCTATTACATATATATATATATAATTTATATAACTATATATAATAATTTATATAAATATATATTTTTCATTGTTCTTGTTAATTGATCCTCTGCTCATAATCTTTATTCTTCTACTCAACTGTGGAGGAAAAATTGACTTGTATGAGTGGTGATGTGTTGAGCCAGACAATTTTTCACAGTTCTGTGGTTCAGCAAATAGGATGTGGTATAGCCACACTTTAAATGTACATATAATCATCTGAGTAAGAAAGAAAAGGGCCCTTTGAGGCGAATGGGTAAGGCAAAAGGGGGCAGCTTTAGGCAGCAGGGGTCCTGCCCATCCAACACTAGAGGAAAACTGGCCCATAGCTTGAGTCTGCCAGGCTAACAGTTGAAGCCAGGGATGGCATGCTTGATACTTACTGATCTCTTTCTTCTTTTCACAGTGGAACTTCTCAAGGCCAGTGTGTTGACTTCTGACCAGCCTCATCTGAAACCACACCCTTTTACACATACACAAACACCCTGAGGTATTGGGCCTCCAGCTTGCTCTAGGAGGACAGAGGGCAGGTTAAGTTTGTTTGACATAACTAGAAGGGGCTGAGCCTCTTCCCAGAACAAGGCCCATTCATGGCAGTTAGCGGTCACCACCATTTCTAGATAGCTTTTGCTTACAGTGGCTAAGACATTGTTTCTTTCAGCAGAGGAAAACGAATGGGCTGGCGATCCAATACTTCAGACTCCAAAGAAATCTGGACAGGTGACAAAGGTGTCCCAAGGCGAGACTGCTGCTTGCCGTGCCCATGCTAGAGCTGCACTGCTACATGCTCTGCAAGATAGCAGCAAAAGTGCTGAAGTTTAGATATTTCCTTAGTGGTGTTCACTACTCCACATCAAAGAGGGTATTTTCTCTGGGTAGGCCCCAGGTGTTCTGAGTGAAGGTGAGAATAGAAGTGTCTAAAAGTGTATGGTGTCCCATGAGACTGCAACAGATGTGCTCTAACCATGAACACCCCAGCTGCTTTGAATGATGGTAGGAATGGAAATATCCAGAAGCACAGGTATGGTGCTGCCTTCTCCCACTGTACCACCTGTGCTCTGGACTGTGTGCTCCAGGTGCTCTGACAGTAGCATTTCCAATCACAGATACGGTGCTAGCCTCTCAGACAGAAACAGATGTGCTTTGGGCAGGTGGACACTAGGTATCTGATGGAAAGCAAGAATAGAAGTATCTCCTGGCATGCATTTCTTCTCAGTGGTGCAGGCTTCTATAATAGTAACGGGTTTTCTCTGAGTAGGTGGGCCCCCTGTACTCAGACTAGATACAGGAAGACTCCAAACACAGTTATAGTGTTGGTCCTTCCCATTACAAAACATGTGCTCTGTTCAGGTGGGACGCAGGAGCTCTGACTGTAGGTAGGAACATAAAGGCCTCCAAGCACAGGTGAGTTGCTGGCTCCTTCAACTGCTACAGACTGTAGATACAAAAAGAAGTATCTCCAGCAGGTATGGTGCTGTCCTCTTAATTGCAGCAGGTGTTCTCTGGCTGGACAGGTCCCAGGTGATCACAAGGAGGAACAGGAGTGTATAGCACATGTTCCTTCTCAGTGATGCTGTTTCCTCCAGTAGTAGAAGGTGTGTTTTGGCTGGGCTGGCTCTAGGTGCTCTCATTATAGGCAGGAAGGAAAGTGTTTCCCAGGACAGATTTGCTCTCAGTAATGTTGGCCTCTCTGATTTTAACAGGGAAACAATAGGCTGACAGGACCCTGGTGCTCAGGTCTGAGCCTCTCCCAACATGAGCTGTGGTTCCAAGTGTCCCACTTGTCCTCGCTCCAAAGCTGAGTGTTCCAAACATGGTGCTGGGGCCTGGGACATACACAATGACCCCAAAGCTGCCACTACCCACAGGGGCTGAAAATCCCATGAATCCAAATGGGTCTGGTGTGGTGTTGGCAAAAGGTGAGCAGGAGTCCTCAGTGCTGTGCATGTTGGTGTCTGTGCCAATAAGTAAAACAACAGAAGTGCCGCCAAAGGCTGCCTGGATGCTGACAGTGGTGCCAAAGTTGGAACATGGGGTTGTCAAGCTCCCAAAAGCTGACTGAGCTGTGCTGCTATTGGGTTCCTCGGCTGCAGTATATTGCTTGTGCTGCCAGGTTTCCCAAAGGGAAAGAGTTGTTAAAGCTGTCAAGAGGAGGCAGGAAGATAATAGGCTGGGAATTGAGAATGGTATCCATATTGATTTCATCAGAGTTAAAGGTAGGCTTGGATGCTGAGTATGAAGAGGTGCTGGTTATTGGAGTGAAGTAACTGCAGAATCAGTGGTAGGTGGGCCAGAAAAGACAGGGGCATTGGGGAGAGTGGCTCCCTGTTGCTGCCCATAGAGGCTCCCAAAATTTTGGCTAAAGGGTGGTTCCTGCTCCAAAGGGAAGGTTGAAAGTTCAGGTACAGCTGCTGACCATAAAAGCAGGTGGGCTGGTGGTGACTGTGACCTTTTCAGGGGATATCTGCTGCACATTGGATGGGCCTGGTCAAATGGGAGGGAGCTCACACCAGATCCTAGTGGAGACCTGAAGACAGAAAGCCTGGGAAGGCAGAGTGGTGTTCACGTCAGTTATACCAAAGTCCAAAGCACCTAGGAGATCCAGTCTGCAGACGGGCTGACTGGGCTGGTGGAAATGATTGCAGAAGCAGTGATGAGCTGGCTGGTGAAGATAGGGATACTGGTGAAAGGGACTCGAGGATTCTGTTTAAAAAAGGGAGGAGAATCCACATACATAGGTGTAGGTGACTCAATTCTACAGAAGGTAGGCTGTAAGGAGAGGGATGAGGTGCTAGGAGGTGTGGTAAGAGAAGCAGAAGATCCTGCCGCTGTGACCAAGGGACTGGAATGCAAAGGGCCTCTATTCTCATATTAAGTGGAACTCCCAATATGGGTTGGAATTTAAAGTGAGAAACAGCAGGAACAGCAAAAGAAGGAGAGTTAGAGATTGTGCATCTCATTTCATGATCAGTATCTGGTGTGAGGGATGGGTACAGGGGCAGTCACGACTGGTGGGCCCAACTGACAGGCCAATCAAGTCAGTGACTGCTAATTTGGTAGCATCCAGAATCTGCAAGGGGAAAGTGGCCAATGGCAATGTAACTGCAGTCCTCGCAGCAAACAGGGAGAAAAAACAAGCAGGCTGAGTGGAACTGATGTCTGAAGTGGCCTCAGTTTTATCCTCCAATCTTGTGGTTCCATTGGTTCAGTGTTCTTCTCCAAGCCAAGGTCTTCAGCAATGACCATATAAGGAAGGTAGGAGGTGGGGGCAGCTCACCTTGACCCCACAACAGTGGCAGTAGCAGAAGCAGTGGCAACAATGGTGGCATTGAAAATTTCCATTTACAGAGCCTACAGCTGACAGATGTGGGTGGAGACTTTTTCCTTGACAGTATCTGAAAGCTTTCCTCCCTGAGTCGTCGTCTTTGACTTCAATAAGGCTGGGGAGCTGAGTCATAGGCCTTCATCAAGCTCTTCCTTTCTCAGCCTCTCTGGCAGCAGGAAGCAAAAGCCAGACAGCCCTACTGCACCTGGATCACTTGTGCAAAGAGGCATTAAGCCTCCAGCAGGGCTGTGTGAGCTGGTGATGGCATGGCCTTTGGTGAATGAGCTCATAGAAGACATCTTTGATATCTTACCTAGCTATCTTCTTGGAATAGAGGTTTCCCTTCAGAGGCCCAGGACTGCTCCAAAATATGTGACAACTCCACTTGTCACCAGGAGACTAGATGCTGATGGTGTACTTCCACTGCTTTGGGGGCCCCTTTTCTGATAGTCCTGCCTTTTGGACACTTTTTGATTGCTTTCCTCCTTCGATATCCCCTTCCTTCACACTCCTCGTGTCTTCAGCTCAACCTCCTTTAAGCAAGGATCTGGAGAGTGAATGGATGGCCCAGGCCTTACAGAGGTGACTTCCTGATCAGGTGACAAAGGAGGAGGAGTCAGTCTGTGCCCTGGAGCAGGGATTTTTACCATTACTGAGTGGCCGGACACTTTGAAGCACAACCAAGCAGCAGTGGTTTCTTCAGAGAGTTCCCTGGGGACCCTCAGAGAGGAGCACTGAGGCTGCCTAATCCAATACAGCCTCTTAGGGGTGATGTATACCCAGGGGCAAAGGCACTGGATCCAGGTAGAACTGCCTAGGAAAAGGGCCACAGAGAGACGCATGGGCAGCAGGGTGATCTCAGCCAGAAGGGGAACGCAAGTGTGGCCAGGGCAAGGACAGGGCAGGAGTGAAGCTTGCTGAGGAAGTTGCCCATGAAGGGCAGTTTGTTTGCTGTCTGGTCCTAGGAGTGTGGTACACAATTTGGAGAGCTCTGCTAACTGCTCCTCCATGACAAACCATGCACTGTTCAGCCTGAAGCTTGTGACACAGCATTGGAACCTGTGACAGAAAAGCACACGAGCTAAGCACACCCCAGAGAAGGGCAGGAGAAAAACAGGCCAAAGGCAAAGGGTGAGGCCCAGGGGCAGAACCCCAGCAAGACTTTCTAGTGCTTCCTGATTGCCTGCTGCTGGTTGCAGGTGTTTGGCACCAGACAGACCTGGTGGTTTGATGAGACTGTTCAAGATTGAATTCCAAGAGCCCACGTGACTGTCAGTCCCAAGTCGCCATGTCTGCAGGCACCTCAGTGCCTGACTTGAGGGCAGGAGCATAGGCAACCTGTGCTTGGGGGTCTGCTAGTCCTTTTCCTGATAGCACTGGAGGGCAGAGCCTGGGGCCTGGCTTGTGGGACGCTGGAGTAGAGAGACGTGTTGGGGAGGCTAGGGGTCAGCTCTGTCTCACGTGGTTACTGTGTGCCCAGACAGTATGGGATGGCTGCAGCAGGGCATGTGCTAAGGGGGGGGGAGGGGGTGGAGATGAATTTACCCCAGCCTCTTCCTTTCAGGCAACCACCAAAGATGCCCCCAGTTAACTCCTACAACATACTGCCCCCACCGCTGGTAGGTGAAGGCTCAGAACACCACCTCCTCCAGAGGCCACTGTAGCTCCTCGCCAGTTTCCGGAGTCAGGCATGCCTTTTCTGTGGCCACCCTGGAAAGGCAAGTGTCACGAGTATCGCCAGCTGGACTATGAAGGTTTCTGAGGCAGAGACATGGATACTGTACCACAACACATCCTTTCCTGGCAGGCAGTTTCTCCACTTATTTTTACAAATTTGGTAACACAGCATTTAAGCCTTAAACCCTTCCTCAAGTCACAGGTGGTAGTGGCCCAGCCAAAATTTGAACCTAGGCTGATTCCAGAGCTCATGCATTTAGCCACCAGACTGCTACCTCCTCAACAGGTACCCATCATGGGTTACCATTTTTGGTACCTAGTACAATTACATACCCATAATGAACATAGTCACTGCCTATGGGAAGGTCTTCTTTGGCTCAACTCGTAAGTCAGCCGTTGGCCACACTGGGCTCCAGTCTCTCAGAAAAGGTAGGACGGGAACTGCCAATTGGTAACACATCCCTATCAGGCATTTCTCTTCAATATGAGCCTTGCAGCAAAGCATGCAGCTGTGAGAGATCTTCTCCAGGTGCACAGACACCAGGTGCACATCAGGTGGTTGCTGGGTCTTTTACAACAAGCCTTATGCCCCAAGGGCACCAGTATCTCCTGTAATAATTCCATAAAACAGCTTTCAGGGTCCTGGCTGAAATGAACACCTTAACAATATTAACTTTTCTAGTCCACGAGAGTATGGTACAACTTTTCCTATATTTGGGGCTTTTTAAAAAACTTTCTCTCAGATAACGTTTTGTAGCAGCGTTCCACAAATTACAGCTCATGGGTCAAATTCGGCCCACAGCCTGTTTTTGTAACGCCAATGAGCTTAAAATGGTGTTAACATTATAAAAAGGTTGTAAAAACAAAACAGAAAAACAGAAGAATATGCAACTGCAAAGCCTATACTGTTTCCTATCTGGTCCTTCACAGCAAAAGTTTGCCAACCCCTGTTCTGTAGTTTTTGGTGCATAGGTCTTGTACAGTATTTCCTGATTTATTCTTTAGTACTTTATGGGGTTTTTACAATGCTATTGTAAATGGTATCTTTTCAATTTTAGTTTTCAATTGTTTACTGATAGCATATAGAATACACAATTGGCTTATACGCAGTGATGTTGTATGCTGGAACCTTGTTAAATTCACTCTATACTTCTGGTAGTTTCTTTGTAGATTTCTTATGATTTTCTACATACACATTCATATTTTCTGTGAATAAAGAGATTTTTATATCTTCCTTTTTAATCTGTAGCCTTTTATTTCTTTTTCTTACCTTTACATTTCCTCTGACATCCAGTAAAATATTGAATACCAGTGGAGACAACAGACATGCTTTCTCCAGGTTCCAGATCTTAAGGGAAAAGTGTTCAGCATGCTGTTAGTTTGAGTTTTTTTTTGTATATGTGCTTCACCACATAAAGGAAATTCCCTCCAATTTCTATTTTGCTGAGAGGTTTTTTTCACAGGGGTGTTGAATTTTGTCACTTTGCAGATTTGAGATAATCATATGGTTTTTCTCCTTTATTCTCTTAATATAGTGAATTACATTGATTGATTTTTGAATGTTAAACCAACTTTGATTCCTGGGACAAACCCCACCCAAGAGGTGGTCATGCTAGATCATCCTCTTATATTTGGTTGGATTTGATTTCCTAAAATGTCATTAAAGATTTTTATGTCTATGTTCCTGAGGTATATTAATCCTTAAATTTCTTTCTTTATTTTATTTAAAAATTATTTTATTGAGGTCATATTGGCTTACAACATTGTGTAAATTTAAGGTGCACATATGTATGGTGATGGATAAAAACTGGACTATTGGTGGTGAACACAAGGCAGTCTATACAGAAACTGAAATATAGTGAAGTACACCTGAAATAAATTTCTTTATTGTTATGTTTTTGTATTAGGGTAAGGCGAGGCTCATAGAATGAGTTAGGAAGTTTCCTCCTCTATTTTCAGGAAGGATTTGTTTAACATTGGTAAAATACTTTCCTTATATTTTTGATATAATTCATGGGAAAACCATATGGAAGTGCAATTTTATTAATGGAGAGGTGTTTAGAGTCACTTGCTATCCTTTTAATATCTGTCAAATCTGTAGTGATGCCCCCTTTACGCCTGACATTGGTAATTTCAGTTTTCTCTTTTTATTTCCTGATTAATCTTCCTAGAGGTTTGTCAATTTCACTAATATTTTAAAAATACATTTTTAGTGTTATTAATTTTCCCTACTGTGTATTTTCTACTTCTGCTATTATCTTTATCATTTCTTTGTTTCTACCTACTTTGGATTTAAGTTACTCTTCTATTGCTATATTCTTATAATGGAAAATTAAATCATTGTTTTAAAAATATTTTAAAAATTTTTTTGTAGCCCAATTTAGTATGAAAAAGCCCAACACGTCCTGACAGACAAAACTGAGCCTATACTACTAGCTATTAATGAGGCACATCATTGCATCTGTCATTTGGGGTTCATAATTGCAAACAAACAAACATACTCCAGCTGAGTTAAGTAGAAAAATAATTTATTGAAAACCTACTGGAATCCCTGGAAAGCTAGAGAGCTGGACTTGGCAAATAGGCAGGAATGAGGGAGGTCAGGCAGCCAAAGCCATGCCAAAGCACTGCTGTGGGGTCTCCACTGTCCCTGCTTCTCTGTGGCACCAGCAGCCATATCCAAAGTCTGGGGCAGAGGCATCTGGTCACCAAATACAGGTCAAGTGCCTACATCCATGCCGAAGCAGAGGCTGGGAAATCAAGTATTTGGCTTTTTCAGCCTCCATAAGTGGGAGGCAGTTCTGACTGCCGTCAAAACTCCTATGGTAGAAAATTCCTTGAACAGAAAGGGGATTCACATATAGGGCAGAAAAAAAAAGTGTACTATTTTACTGTTTAAGGAGTATGGTTTTCTGGGTAGTGAGATTTTTCTGGTTGTTTTGTAAGTTGATATGGTAAATGTTTCTGAAATATTAGTGTATTTTCTACTCCAATAAGTGTAGTAAAATTTAATGTTCAAAATTTAGCTCTGTTTCATAACCATGTGATCTTCAGCAACATATGACTTCATTTGACATTTAGCTTTCTTCATTTGTAAACGGTAATTTGAATAACTCTTACCCCTCAGGGTTGTAGCTCAAATAAATTGATGCATGCTAAGCAATTTATATACTGAAAACACTAAATAATCATTAAGCATTGTTATTATTCTTTTGGTGCTTAGGCTCATTATTTTTAACTTCACACACTGTAGCTGTTGATATAGAAGGTATAGGAGATCCTCCTGGAAATTTGTCTCTTTCTCCTAAAAACAGAGTATGAAGAATTACCATTAATTGAAAGATATATTTGAATTCTGATTAAGAAAGGAACAGTACTGTGGTGGTATTTTATTATTTAGATTAATCTGTGAAATTACTGATTGTTGGAATTCAAGTTTTCTGGTTGCAATTCATTTATTCCTTCATTCCCTTCATAAATATTTAAGGCATGCTTACCACGTACCAGTACTAGAGATATATGACAACTTAAACAAGGTCCCTGTTTTCAAGGGATTCCCAGTCAAGTGGGGGACACAGACGAATAAATAGAGAATTACAACACTGATGCCATTTCACTAGAAATGTATAATTCCACGGGATGTCTAGTTAATATATTAAATTCACTCTCCTGATCCAGATTAAAATATAAGATTTTTAACACAAAGGTTTTATGTTCAAAATGCTATGCTAAATTGGCATGGATCACGATGCTAGAGTTCTTTAATTTCACTTAACTAAACTGTTAAATTATTTAAAATTTTCCAATGTAAGATATTGTTAAATCA